ATCGATCGGAGGCGGTCAACGGACTTCTTCTCCGAGCGCGGACTCCACGCACAAGCACGTGGTGTACAGTGCAGCCCTGTCCACCGCCAACAACTCCGCCAGCAAATCTGCCTGATCCGCATCAGCCACAGCACAAAGTCGTTTACCCTCAACACGAATCCCCAGAATGGCCTCGACGTCATGTAACATGATCGTCATCTCACCGAACGGAAGGTGGAAAGAGTTTGTATCCGGCTGCCATCGCTCAATGAAAGCCGTGATCAGCGTACTGTCAATCTTATCGTGCATGGTGGCAGGAACGTGATTCACCCCAGTGCCCTCCAGTCGCTCGAACATCTCGCTCTCCGCCGGCCAAGCCTCAGCCCATGTACGCAAAAAGCTACAAGTCTTTTCCCGGGTATGACATTTCAACAACCCTGTAACTGAAGGCCTCTCCTGGTCCTCCCAAATACGGGCAGCTATGTGTCCTAGAAAGCTAGGAATCACACTCCCGTCAACAGGCCCACCGGGCACCTCACTCCTAACAACCCAAGAATCATTACCGGCCCTCGACCGTTTCCTGCTTGCCCCAGATACAGTGGACGCAGATGATGTGCCAGATCTACTAACAAACCTACCACCCCTACCCTTACGCACCTCCACCATATGTGTCTCGTACATGTCATCAACCCTCTGACTGAATGGACCGTAATCATCATACGGTCCACTGCCATCGTCCACATCCTCATCCTCATCTGCGCCCTCCTCCTGCTCCTCCTCCTGGTCACCCTCCTCAGCATCATCATCGTCATCGTCATCCTCATCCCGACGGTGGATCCGTTCTCTACGAGCTGAGGCCGAAATACCACGGGATCTGACATGTCTATGCCCCGACCTCTCCACTGAATAGCTTCTACTAAGAAGCTCTACATTCTTCCCCGCACCATGACGACCCAGTGAATTCTACACAAAATTTTAAAATATATAACCATACAAAAATTTATACGAAAAATAGCTACCACTACCCAAATCAAATAAACTAAAAACATACTAACAAATTAACATAATAAAGAAATTAACAAAACACTTAAATAAAAATAATAGAATAAAAAATACACTTAGAAAGGAAATAAAACCAACATAGAAGAATATATATAAACATAAATAATTCATTCCCAATTAAAATAAATTAACTAACCAAAAACAATATCAATAATAAAATCTAAAATAAATTAACTAACCAAAAACAATATCAAAGTCACAAAAAAAATTTAAAAACAAATCAAAATAGAGAATAAAAATAAAAATGTACAAAAAAAACAAACAAATAATTGTAAACAAAATATAAACATAGAAAAAATACAACAAAATTGAAAAAATTTATAAAAATAAACAACAAAATATAAAAACAATTCAAAAAGATATTACACAAAAAAAAAACAATATTTTAAAACAAATATATAAAAAAAAAAGAAAAAAAAGGGGGGGGGGCGCCTTGGCTGGACGCCCAGCCAGCGGTGGTGGCGCCAGCTGCAGACGCCGCCACCAGTGGGCTGGACGCCACAGCCACGGCTGCGGCGCCTTGAATAAACGCCACAACCGTGGCTATGGCGTCCAGCCCAGGCGCCAGCCTACTAGTGGCGGCGTCTGGAGCTGGCGCCACCACCGCTGGCTGGGCGTCCAGCCAGGGCGCCCCACCTCCGTCACGACGATTTTTCCTTTTTTTTACAAATTTTACCTTGCCTCCTTGGGACCTCCTTCCCTCCGCCGCCAATTCCTTGCCTTGCCGCCTCGACATTGCCGTTGTTTGATTTATTTTTTTTAGAGAGGTTGAAAGAAGATGAGCGATGAGAGTGTGAGTGTTTTTTTTTTAGGTCAAGGGCAATATTGTCAAACCAAGTGAATTTTGTGGGCTTTATGTAGTAATTTGTGGGCGATGTTAACAAATCCCTTTTATTAACTGTTAAACACAAACACATTTTGATAGTATACATGGAGAAGCATCATTGCACATTTGTACATAATAATATTTAGCCTTTTAATCCCATAATAAGTTCAATAAGCCAAGGCCCAATGATAATAATTGTATGTTCCCGTTCCAAAAAAAAAATAAAAATATTGTATGTTACAGGAAAATGATTAATAAGTTCATAGTATTAGACAAGATACATGGCTGGTTTAAAAAAAATAAGATATTTCATATTATTTGCAACGATTTGATATTACAACTTGACATAAGTGTCTAATAATTGCTAATAATATAAAATGGAGGTAGTACATACATTGTGAGGAATTTGGATTATCTTATCTAAATCAAAAATCAAGACGCTTAACAAGAAATATTTCATTTTACATGTTAGTGAGAATTTATAGTTTATCTTTAAACTTTTTAACCGAGGCTGCAATAAATAGGTACATCTTTTAAAAACAGAGGAGCAGTACGACAACACTATAAGTTAAAAGTTTTAAACAACATAATCTTATATATTGATGAACAAAATAAGTTATGGTAGCATGTGTTTGTTGTTAGATCTGCAAATATGGCCTGTAAAGAGAGAAATTGACGACCCACAAGATGAGGGTTAAATTAGCACCATAAGTTAAATGAATGTATATTCAATTATTCATATATTGTGAGGTGGAAAACCGTCATATGTTTACAGAATAAACCCATATCATTCATATATAGTGCCACTGCCATTTTGATTACTGTGTATGTTTTATGGGATTGGGAACTGCGTAAATATGGCATTTTATTGTTCTTTCTTTCTTTTCTTTTTTTTTTTTTTATTTATTTATTTTTATTTTTATTTATTTTTAATATCATCCAAATAAAATAAACCTTAATGGAATTTTCAGCAGTTCTGTTGATGGAATAATTGAACATTCTGTTTAAGCTCAAAACTCCATGTATTGTATGTGAGTTTCATTATTAACTTGTCTTATTCGACATATTTATAGGTTAGGTTTTATTTGTTCCTGCTAACTGAGCTTTCATGATCATAATCTTGGGAAAATATAAGTGCGTTCAACAGGATGATCTACCCTAGCTTAGTGTAATCCTTAATTAATCTAATGTTGTATGCTAAGCTAACCTAGCTAGTTATTCAAAAGCATATACTCCATAGTTCATATAATGCATCCATTTACTACCGAATTGGTAACCTCAGGTATTCTTAGGCCCTGTTCTTTAGAGCTGCTCTGCTATGTCCTACTCTACCCTGCCCTGCTCAGCTAAGCTCTGCCATGTTCTGCTCTGCTCTATTTAGTTATGCTATGCTCTGTCCTGCTCTGCCCACACTACAAAAAAAATGAGAATAGGCAACACTTAAGATTGCAACACTTACAGAAATGATACTATTAGTAATCTAAAGCAACAATATTTATTTGTTACCTTGAACTAAAGTAACAGATAAAAAAATGTTGCTCTAGACTATATAAGGCTACAGTCGCTTGAAGTGTTACCTTTTTATAGTCTAAGACAACAAACATAATAATTGTTGCATGAAAAGATAACAATAACAAAACTATAGCTTGAAAATGTAACATTAATATCTATGTTGCCATCTACGGCAACATTTATATTAAAAAGACAACATAATTTAAGATGTTGCTTTTATGGCGAGTGTGTGTATATGTATATATATAAGTTTGGTGGAGTTGGTGGTGAAGTCACCTTGTGACTTTGAGGTCACAAGTTCGAGCCTTACAACCTACTAAATGTTTGGGAGTGGCAACATTTAGAAACATTTTTGAATTGTCTCCTTAGATGGCAACATTTTCATTTGTTGTCTTTGTAAAAGTGTTGCCTTATGTATCATTTTACCTTGTTTTCAAAATTGTCGCCTTTGAATAAAAATGTGTTGTCTTATGAATAGACAACGGGGGCATATACTACGCCTCATATTTGTTGCCTTTGCTATAAGGCAACACTTTTTTTATATTAGGCAATGGTTTTTCACTGTTACCTTTGCTTTATTTTGTTGTAGTGCCAAAGCTCAAAATAAAAGAGCCTTAGACGGACAATGTTTCATATCCTCAAAGAGAAAATTGTCAAAAATAATATGCCATAATAAATGACAAAATTACATAGAGCAATTGATATAGTTGATCAATTGCAGGCTATAAGTAATTTTTTTTTGTGATCTAAGTGAGCTATGTACATGTTAGTACATCACTCCTCTACGTAATGAATGCTAACAATGACAAATTTATATTAGAGGAGTCGGAATTTGAATAATATAATTAATCAATGGCAGGTTATAAGTACGTATATTTTATTTTTAAAAATTTAAGCTCATTATTAACTAATTAATTGCAATGATTTAATGGAAACTAGGTCCTGAATGGCCTCGTTGAAAGGTCCCCTCTAAATGATAGTCCAGTCATTGTTGACTAAACTAGTAAGGATATCTAGTGTTATAATTTCGTCTATATCATTTGTCTTACATTATGACTCTATTATGTAATTAGTCATATAGATACCATGTGTATAGTGTTGAAGACTTGAAGCCACCAACAAAATGATGGGTTCGCACAAGCCCAAAATTTCAACTCTAAATATGCTTCATCAATATATGATCAAATAAAAGCAAAGAAAAAGAGTTGATTAATTTATTAAGTGTATGGTATGCATGTCTAAATACATCTATATTTAAATAAAGGCTAGATAAACTACCCATATTATTTTGGTCCATTAAAATAAAAATAAAAAGAAAGCGATATCATATGATAAAAACAGTGAAAGTGCATCTAGAAAATCTTACTCAAGTAATGCTAGAAGTAGTAGTAGTTCGTTCAATATGTGTTGTTGTCTTCTATTCGTCGCTTATGCTCGTCAACTCTCTCAGGTAGGGCACTGTTATCACCTCTATATTGTTTCAACGCTCCCACTATATTTCTACTTTTTCCTGTTTATCAAATTTTTATTTTATTTCAATAAAAAAAAAAAAAATTGAAATAAAAAAGGGAAAGTTGCTATTAGGCTATGCTAGTTATCTGCTCTTTTATCCAATGGTTAACCGATCAAATCTGCAACCCCAATTTTTTTTTTTAATTTTTTCATTTTTTCCATAGGTAAAGAAAAGGTAGTAGTGGCACACAGGTCAACCTAACCCGAGTAATAGACAAGGCTCTTTAAGAAAGAGAGAAAAAGTAAAGAGAATTTTCATCAATTTTCCACCTCGCCTCAAACAGTCTTATAATAAAAGTGTAATACTTATTATACAACCTTGTAGTTATGAGACACACAAATTTTAATTAGACCAAATCTCACTCACTATTTTTTTTTCTTTTTACCTAGTTTCAGATTTCTTTCATACACTTTTATAGATCTTCAAAAAAATAAAACTAAAGGTAATATCATATCATTTTCTTTCAGAAAAAAAAAGAGAATATTAATATTCTAAATACTGTTGTACTCCGTAGTTAATAATAATATTCCCAAACAAAAAAAAAAAAAAAACCTACCTATATATCTACAAGCTTATCTTCTCCATTTTCTCCATTCTTCTTCTTCATCCCTAACCAAGCAAAAAAAAAAGAGAAAAAGAGAAAGAAAAGAGAGATTATTATTATTATTATTATTATTATTATTATTATTACATTAATTTGAAATCTCAAGCTATGTTAAACCAAAGTTTAATGGAAGATCATCATCAAGTTGGATTATCAAGCTCTCAAATGGGGTTTTACCTAAACTCTACAAATCTAACTAGTTTTTCTCCACCACTTGTTCTAAATCATCAACAACAACAATCTGATGATCTTAAACCCTTGAATAATTTTCTACCTTCTTCTTTTGGTTTAGATCATGTAACTTGTACTCTTACTCAAGCCCTCCTTTCTTCCACTAAGCCTAGACAACAAGAAGATTACTTATCCTCTTCTTTTACTAACAATTTACCCCCTCTTTTCTCTCCTCAAAAACCAACCCCAAATTACAACCTATGGTAAGCTTACTTTACTTTCTTTTACAAGTACTTCTATTTGTTTGAAATCGATTTGATTGATTGTTGTTTTGTTGGATGTTTGGATCGGCTAGGGCGGCGTGGGGTGAAGGGAAGGAGTACCAATTAGCCGGGAGCAAGAGAGGGTGTAATGGAGATGATCCAATACTCGGGGTATCGACCGTGAAGATGAAGAAGATGAAAGCTAGAAGGAAGGTTAGAGAACCAAGATTTTGCTTCAAAACCATGAGTGATATTGATGTTTTAGATGATGGTTATAAATGGAGGAAATATGGCCAAAAAGTTGTCAAGAACACCCTTCACCCTAGGTAAACATACATATATACTCATTAATTTTTACTACATCTTCATTAATTTAGTACTTAATTAGTTTTCATAATTATTATATACTTCTTGCATGCACGTTCATGAGATAATTATTGTTATAATTGTTGTGGCATTGAAATTATGATAATTATTTAGAAGCTATTTTGAAGAACTAACTACAAAAAAGAAATTATGGAATTACATAGAAATGCTATTAAGTGATCTTTAGTCATGCTCCTAGATTAATTGTAAGGCGATCGATGAAGGAAAAAAGGATTTAATTATGGAATTAGAAAGAAATGATCAATTATATCATTATATTATTCTTTGATAGATCCAAAAAAATTATGTAGAGTAACAATTATACAATGATTCCTCGTTATTAAGCCAAAAAAATAGTAATATAGGGAACCTTTTACATAAGGGTAAAAGTAATGTGGGGGTGGACCTTAGATAATCATTTTACATTTTAATCTATCAATCAAAAAGGTGTACATTATATAAATGATCAAAAGAATTACTCCATTTTTTATAATTTGAAAGAACTTTGTGAATCTAGTACTCTTTTTGTAGGTTCTGTACATCTTTTTTGTATTAATAAATAGATTATTTAAGAAGTACTTTGTTTAACGAGAAAGATGTTGTAAGGAATCAATTGTATATGAATCCGGATTATCCTGAAGGATGAACCCGTGGGAACACAGTGGGAACACAAAAAAAAAAAATGATATATGCAATGGGGTGACTTGTTAATTTTATAATCAATTAAAGGTGTAAGATCTTCATTAATTTAATTTGAATGTATTTAACCCAATAAATAATTCAATTACATGGAACGATGTATAAGCTAACAATTAGTGTGTGTCCCGGGCGATACCTCGGATTGCTAGTTTATACTTTGAACTACTTTAATTTGATAATTATGTTTGACTGTTTTCGGGGTGTTGCCTCGGATGTTATGGTTTTTTTTACCTCATATATGTATTTATTTTCTAATCTTGTGAAGGATAAATAAATTAAATAATCTCTAATTTGTTGAAGGTTAAGGAACCCCTTTAATATATATAGTATAGATTAAAATTCTGGAGAAAGTGTCGATTGTGGACTATTAATTTTTGAATCAAGGGATGAATATTGCCACATAATTATAAGTTTTTAAATCTGGTAACTTTGATGATTATTGTTAATATTTCATCAATGTGTCTCAGGTAATTGATTAAACACAAGGTTTCATTCTAGTGGCTTTTCAATTCTGATCAGATCATCTTTCTAATCTGAAAAGTTTTTTTTAAAAAAAAATTTGTATATACTTATTTTTGTTAAAAAGTGAAAATAGAAAACAACTTTTTGGAAAAGAGAAAAAAAGTGTAAACTTTTTTTTAACAATTTCAAACTAATTTTTTTTTTAAAAAAAAAACTCCATAAATAATAAATGAGTAATATATATGCTATTAAAAAACATGAAAGTCAAAGTGAAAATTAGAGGGATATATAATAATTTTGGAAGAAGGTTTTTTCAATCTATCTTAAAATATGCTACTCTACATAACTCCTTCAACTTGAGTATCTTATACTATTTGACATCTATTTTAGTTCATCACAAAGATTATAACCTCTTTTCAGATTTAGTTATATGTTATTTCATCAGCTAATTAAATCCCTAATAAATAATCCCAAAATTGTGGCTTGCACATTTTTATCAAGTTAACTTTTAAGCTAGCTTTTGAGCAATGTTTTCTACTTCGAATGACCCTAAGATTAGGAAAATTAAGGTAATATAAGTTAGAACTACTTAAATTAAGGAAAATAAAAGGCTATTCTAGTTCCTTTTCCTTTTTTTTTTTTTTTTTTTTTTTTTTGGTAAATAATAAGTTCGGATATGTTAAAATCAAACATAGTTTGTGGTTATTAGTATATCTCAAGCGTATTTACAGTACAGAAGTCTGTGCTAACGAACATATATGGATGACAATAATTAGTTCTTGATGACCTTGAACTAACATTTTACTACCTCTTTGACAAATCGAAAAAGCTAATATAAGCAGTGAAAAAAAGTGATGCTAGTGCATCTTGAGGATGTGACGATCTGAGTTGAAAGCATTAGATTAAACATAATCGACTCGACTTCTCACCAAACTTGGTTAATAATGTCAAGCTTAATTAGTTGAGTAAAGAACCAACGAAGAACGTGTTCATCTTTAATTATTCTTTTCCTTTTACACTCTTGATTTAGTCTCTTTTGTTTGTAACTTAAGAAAAATATATATAAAAAAAAATATTGAAAGTTTCAAACGAGCAAGTGTATAATTAATGAGTTTGATTGATTTTGTTTGATCAGCTTGGACAATGTAATAACATCAATGAGTGCATATTATAGTTCACTTTGCCAAGTTATTCAACTAAACGCGCCTTAATAATATAGTTGTTTCATATTACTCGCAACAAAGGGGTATTGTGAGATATAAAATATTCCTTTGTTACTAGTAATATGAAACAGAGGTAATATGTATTATAGGAGAAAAATTTGCAGATTGCTCTTAAGATTAAAATGTTGACCTAATTAGTTATATTGTGTTTTATGTGGCAGGAGTTATTACCGGTGCACACAAGACAACTGTAGAGTGAAGAAGAGAGTGGAGAGACTAGCTGAAGATCCAAGGATGGTCATCACAACTTATGAAGGTAGACACATCCATTCTCCCTCCAACGACCTCGATGAATCGCAAGGCGGCCAACCCCAGCTTAACAACTTCTTCTGGTGATCATTGATCATTATGATGCTACAAACTACGAATTATATGATTTATAATTAACCTAGCCTTTTCTCTTTGTGGTATCATGTAGTCGTTTAATTACACTAATTGTCGACGACAAACACGTACGTATCGAGCTGCTGGTGTTGTTTTTAATATGCCATGCCAAATCCAAACCAAAATCATCCTTAATATATACTAGTTGTTATGTACTTATGTTTATCATCATTTAAGTAAATGTCTAGTACGTAAATTTGATCTTTTTTTGCATGTTCTTGTATGTGGGTCGTCTATTTTATGGGAAAAATAATATACCAAAGTAAAGCACTTGTAAAATTTACTTTATTTTTACTGTAGTTTCTTGATATAAGAGAAGTTGTTAAATTTTAAATTATTAGAACAGTTAAATGCTGTCATTTCCATTCTATATGTCTTTGACATTAAACGTTTAAACAGAAATTTTTATGTCAAGTTAACAACTTCAATAGTTGATATTTCATAAAATTATGTACATATATTAACATGCACACTTTAATTTGCATTATTTGAGAATGAAAACAGTTATTTTGGACTTTTAGAGATTGTTTGCACAGAATAAAGAGTATCTATTTTCTAGGAAATGCTATTTTGCCTTTTTTTAGCTAAAGATAACAGTTTCAAATGTTACTTTGTTTTAGATTGTGATTAGATTTTGCTTTATTTAGCATTTTAGCTAAAGAAAACAGTATGAAATGTTATTACTTTAATTTTAAATAACGAAAGAACTGCATAAAATCTAACACAATTAATAATGAATTTGTTTCATTACATCCATATATTCTAGTTTAACAAACTTATCATAAAATTAAATGATATCACAGTTTGTAAAGAAAGACACATCCTTAAGTAAAGTTTTCATAGGAATGTAGTATATAAAAACAAGAAGATAAAAGATTTTTAACTAATTTTCTCACCATGATTGTACTTTAATGGATGTTCATGGTTTGTTACTCTGTTCTCCATAATTTATAAGTCGTAGTACCACATTTGTCTTGACAAAATAAGTTACACGAAGTTCATGTATACTCCTAGATCAAATTATTTAACATAAGATAATTTAAATCACAATAAGTTGACAATAACAAAGCCTAGACTCTAATTATAAATTCAACTAATTCTATTTGAACTTATTAGATATGATATTTATTAAATATATGGGTGCATCTGTAGACACCTAATTTTGTACGGATAACAAGTTCCTAAAACTTGTTAGCAACTCTTCTATCTCTAGCTTCCTTCCATTTAAACGTCGTCATGCCTAAAAGCATGATCACAATGAGGTTCAAAGTTGAGTTTGAAAAGTTCCCTACAATATTGTAATTTATTTTTCTGCAATAATTTTAGATTACATTGATTAGTGAAAAATAAAATAGATTAGTGCTGGACCTAAATGCTCCCTTTGTTTTAAATGGATTGCAGATAATAAATCTTCTTGATGGGTCAGTATGCTATAATTGGGCCAGACCAAGCCCATTAGCTTTTCAGTGAGGATAAAAGGTCATATCAGTCCAAGACCTTTTTCTTTTCTCAAGTCTGTCTTACATTTTTCACTTTTCAAATTTTTCAACATAACATAATCTTTTTAAAATACTGTCTTAGCCCATTTGTTGGTCATATAGGCCTTTTGGTTTACTCATTTATAAGCCCAGAATTGTTTTCAAATCAGGCCCACTTAAGCATTTCTTGCCCATTAATATCCTTTTGTCCTCAAATTTTTACTAGTATTTCCACAAGTAATTCTTGTTTTTTTTTTTTCATGATTAATCTTGAACATTTTTATAATATATACTCCGCAATTCCGCATGTAACAACCTTAGTTCCCAAAAAAAAAAAATGATTTTAAAAAAAATAAAAATAAAACTCAAGGTTGCACTCTAAGGAGAACCTTTAGTATATGCCTACGAACTTGGAACTTTATGAAAGAGGCTTTGAACTTTGAAGGTTAAACTTGCGTTAAAACTCGTACGTTCACATAATCCTCTTCATTAATCATAATTATACTCCATTTCGAAAATTTAAAGGAAGGTTGTAACAATTGAATAAGAATGCACTTATTATAATCTTATATTGGATATGACTATCCAATATTCAAATTTAGAAATTATTAAAAGTCGACTAAAAAGAAATTAGAATGTATTAAACTATTAATGGAGAAGATCCAAATATTCTTAAAAATTAAACCCTCAACTCCTTTAGTAAAGTGATCTCAACAGCTAGAGTATCTTGCAAATTACATCTTTTTAAAGATATTGCATCATACTGTTTCAAAAAAAAAAAAAAAGATATTGCATCATACCATTAATTAATTGGAATATAATTTAATTATACATCAACACTTGTCGATATAAGCTTAAGATTAGAGGGAAAGCATGTGGATTAGTGGTTAAACAAAGATTATTGTAATGAGATGTACCTTTGTACAGTATTGATTTTGGAGTACTAGGTTGTACGTGCTAAAGGAGCCAACTAATACAGAGTTGTCTGTTTGTATTGACTTTGTGCTCCAAAATCAACCACCATTTTGTGGACAACGTTGCTCGATATATATAGATAGATCAAGACAACTACAAAAATCCATAATTTTAATTAATTAATTAATTGCTTTTTTTATGATAATTTTGATATGTCAAATCCGTTAATTAAGCCATAATTTTGAAGAATCCACTACTACTTCAAAATTAATTTCAAGTACAAAACACTTATTTTTTTTTACTTTGAAGAACATATATCTAGTGTACGGATTTTGAGAGGTAACTTCTTCTTGTTTCTACTTAATAAGTAATAGTATTAGTGCTTAAAATTCACATGAAAGGGTGCAAATACCTCCAAATTCTTGTACTATTAATTTTAAAGTGTTGGTTCTTGAAATATCGTGCTCTGTTGATATTTGAGTTCAATGTTAGTCTTTTTATATATTCTTGTCTGGTCGTGATAAAGATATGTAGATTGAATTCTAATTTTTTTCTGATTAATTTTATTTTCGATTTAGTTTGTAAAAACTTATGCTAACCTAGATCACGGCATTGTTAGTACAAATTATATTCCGTGATATAGTTATATCGCCACATATACATGAACTATTAGGCCGGTATGTAGTAAATAATATTAATTTTAACTATAGTACTTCATATTTTTAAATTTTAATATCGGATGAATACGATTAATTATATTTTTTTTTAAAAAAAAGGACGTGCCATATTTGTACATATGGTTATATGATGCATCTAAGTTTTCAGCATTTGTATTTGGTAACCTAACATAATTTTGCTTTTTACTACTGTATGCTTTTAATTTTTAACATTAAATGGTGAATTAATTCTTTGAGATTTTAATTCGGATTTTCTTCCTTTGTGACCTATATACATAGAGGTGATCCTCAAGTTAGATGTTCAAATTCTCACAGAACCAATTATAATCATCATCTAGCTACGGAGTAGTAAGCTAGAGCACCTGAGGGTTTATTATCAAATCCTTGTCCAACATAGAAATTTGATTTAATAGATTGATATAAAAAAAAAAAAAATGATATTGGTGTTTGTTTTCGCTTAAAACTATAAATAAAAATCGTGTTAAATTGAAACATAGATTTCATAATAAGGTTAATTGAGGTGTCGAGACATATTGAAAGACATAAATAAAGTACAAGTGTTTTATATTACACCATTTTATTCTTAGCTAAAACAAGTTATGTTACAATTTTAATGACCAGCGCTGGTTAGTACGTATTATAAAAGTTATTGGAACATAAAATTAAACAAAAAGGGAGACATATAAAATCTAAAAATTCATCATCAAATCTCATGCATTAGCAAGTAATTATGAGTTTCTTAATATTATATATTAATTCGTATGAAAATGCCAAACTTTTTGTACGTATTAACGTACGAACTTCAACATTATAAGTCGAGCAAAAAATTCTTTTAAATTTCTAAAGTACATTTTTATTATCTTATAATATTAAAGCCAGCAAATTACATGCAAAAAACATCTTTATACAAGTAACAATAAATTTGTATTTTTGTTATGTTCTTAGTTTCTTTATAATTAAAGAATCAATTAGATTCATAAAGTTGGATTCCAATTAGAGCGGATCCTTGTCCAAAGGACGATTCCTCGAAGCCTCGTACTAGTGTCATTGGAATCCTCCCATAATAGGAGATATCCTTAAGCTTAGGCATACATAATTAACACTAATACCATTCATATTGTCGGGCTTATTTTAATTAATTAAGCCTGCTTTAATCCTAATCTTAAACAGCTTAGTAATTAGTAGCTTGGCTAGCTAGTATCTTATATAAAGATAGAGCAAAGTGACTATAATGATTTATATCAATTAACGAACATTCACACTTCTTACTCAATTTGTTAGTTTTAGATAGGTAACAGTTAATAAGTTTTAATAATATCTCATAAGGCTAAGTAAGGTCGGATAAGATTTGATAATTTTAGATCAAATAATTAAGATATGAGTTGACAAGTTCAAATAAGATAATACTTGCATTATGATTTACGTGATTAGAGCAGTATATTAATTGTTAGTTTGGCTCAATCACATGGACAAAACTTATTCGTAGTACGAAGAGTAATTCATAATTGTCTCCGATTGTAAAAAATGTCATTTATTTTTATGGACTTATCTAAATTATATTTCTATATGCCATTTGACACCTAAATAAGATAATACTGGCATGTAATACTTCCTAGTTCCTACATGCTTCAATTTGGCTAGGTCACAATCTTATTAGTTGATCATTGATTGATATTTGAAAAACAATCCTATAATATAAAGATCAACAAATGACAGTAGTACGATAATTAAAACAATAATATGGCATTGTCCTTTCTTGGCAAAGGCCATATTTTGGTGAATCGACTTAAATAGCTAGACAAACAAAATTAAGTATTGTGGTCCAAAATTTGGAGATGTAACAAGCATTAGACAAATGCCGAAATTAATTAAGCAAAAATGAAAATAACATAAAATTAAATCAAGAAAAATGCGAAAGATTAAGCAACAATAATTAATTAATAAAAATTACTCGTAGGACATAATTATATACATGATTAATTTAATAGTGTTACTTGTGTGTTACAAAGTCCACATTATCAGCACATATTGTACTATAGTGGACAATGTTGTTATAATTGTATTCTTTATATTCATATACTTCCAAGAAATTTATGCATAGAATTTTATCATCACATACAATTGCTTTAGTACATTGTAGATTTTGAAAGAAGAGGCTAACATAGCTAATCCTATTTTAGAATGTTTGGAAAAAATATTGATTACTATATATATATACTTAGTAAAAAAAAATCTATCGATCTTTGTTG